AATATCGGGTAATATTGTGGAATATCGGGTAATATTGTGGAATATCGGGTAATATTGTGGAATATCAAGTAATATGTGTAATATTAGAGTAATATTAGAGTAATATCAGTCCGTGTACGAAGGAATATCGGAGTTGACGACCCCTCGCTGAAAGGACCAAAGCTCTCACCTCACCTGTCGAGCCGAATCTCGGCGCCAAATGAGTGATATAAGGAGGTTAGCAGCGAGGGGGCAGGGGCGGAGGGAAGGGTAGCAGAAGTTCGGCCGTACTCTCCTTCGACCCTGCTTGTCTGACCGGAGCACCAGCACCAGCCCCGTCCCAGCGGGGCGGTGGACACAGTTTGTGATCGCCCCCGGGGCCGCTCGCTAGAGCCGAGGCTAGAGCTCCCTTGAGACGGAGACGCCCCTACCACTCCCCCTCGCCAAAGTTGGCCACCTCGCCACCACGCATGAAACGGCCAACGTTAAAACGACTTTTTTTGCGTTGTATTCAGTCAGGGGGTGACGTAGCCGTAGGGCACGCTGCTGGCGCTGCTCCTGGTGTCGCTGAGCCGCCTCTCCCGGGCCGGCGCGTGCTCCGCGAGCTCCTTGGAGCAGCCCGCGCACGCCGCCACCCAGTCCCAGGCGGGCCGCCACCACGACGTCTGCACCTGCTTGTCCTCGACCGGCCTGCGAGAGACGATCGTGAGTATACACGTGGATATGCTACGACAAGTCAGTTTTGGGGCTGTATTTCCTCGCCGCTTACCTATCTGGCTGAGTGGCGATGCGCGCAGCTTCGACGTCGTCCTCGAGGTCCGCGCTCTCCTTGTCCGCGGCGACTGTCGGCGGCGACCTGCTCCTGGTGTCGGGCGGCGTCCACGCGCCGACGCGCGACCGCGGCGGGCAGCAGAGAAGCACGTCGCCCAGCTCCAGGGCCGTCCCCCGCGGCGACACTCCCTTATAAGAGGACGCGGGCGTGGGGTCAAGCACCACCGCGGGGAGCATATGTTTGCCGCCCGCGACAGATAGGCGTGGGCCGACTCGACGGCCGCGGTCGCGCCGTACCCAGGACGTGAGCGGCTCCAGGCAGTTCTCATCGCCCTCGGCGAGGTTCACGAGCGACGGGCTGTGGGGAGGGTCGCCCGGCTCGCCCTGCGGCCCCTGCGAGCAGAGGCGCCGCTGCTTGCACACCCTGATAACGGTCATCTCCGAGTCGCTGGGGAGCGAGAGTTGGTCCACGTCACCGCGCAGCACCGCCATCGCGTCGCACCGCCTTGCCCAAGTCATTGTTGTCGTGCCGAGACAGCAGCGCCTGGGGGGCCGCCGGGGCCGCCTGGGGGTGGTGGGGGCGGCGCCGCCCAGGCTGGGGACCCTGACGACCCGACGCGCTAGAGCGTCGGATCGTTCCGAGATGCGATGGCGGAGAGTAAAGGGGGATGTCAGGTTGACTCCTAAGAGGACGGGGACGAGGGCACGAGGCTGAGGATGCCGCCGGGGCCGGGGACCGCCCTGGAGCGCGCGGCCGTGGCGATGAGGTCGTTCCTGGAGGGCCTGGGCAGCCTGGTGTTGCCATCGTCCGCGAGAGGTGAGCGCCGCTCACTTCTGCTGCCGTGAAGCGGAAGAAGGGGGTAGGTCCACTTAATTAGCACCACGACCTTTAAATCGTCTGTCTGTCGCTGCCGTCTGGTACATCGGAAGTTCCCAAAATGACGTTGGGAAGTCAGTTTTCAGTACAGTGCAATTTAACTTCTCAGGGTAAATTCGGGAACTTCCTGTGCAACAAACGGCAGTGGCAAAAGATTACAAGATAATGGTGCTAAGTGGACCTATCCCCTTCTTCCGCTTCACGACAGGAGTCGTCGTGTCGCAGCCAAGCATGAGTTGCGTCTGCTGCATGTCCCCGTGGCCTCCGGGCTCGGCGCAGAGCTCCAAGGCGCACGCGCCACCTCCAGCCCGCCCTCGCTGCACGGCGGCGTCGGGGCCGAGGTCGCAGAGGTGCTGGCGGCGGGCGCTGCCCTCGCCCTGTGCCTCCTCGCCCTCGCGGTCCTCGCCACGTGGCTCCTGGCCGCGCGCTCGCTGCACGACCCCAAGGCCGTCTTCTTCGCCATCTTCGACGACCGCATCCGGTTGGCCAGACCAGATGGCACGCTCCAGAACCGACAAACACAACAAACCAGAGCGCGCGGCGTAACAGCGAAGCCCTCTCGGTCGACAGAGGCGGCTTCCCCAGCCAGTCGACCGAGACCTGGAGCACGGTGTTGACTGGCGTGAACAGCGTGTTGAGGTCTGCGCCCGAGAGCCCCTGCGTTTTCCTGTTCCTGAGCGGCCCCCGCGCCGAGGACAGCTCCCTGCGACTGGCCAGGGCCCTGGCAGCGGCCGTCAAGGTGGGCAAGAAGCATGTCATAATGTCCGTGCAGAGAGCGCCCGGCGGGCAGGCAGCCGCGGTGCACGCCTGTGCGCCGGGTTTGCCTACCTCACCCGCCCGGCCGTGCAGGCTGCGTTACGGACCTGGCCGCCGACCTCGACCGCGGAGGACGTGGAGGTGCAGGGCGGTGACTTCAGCTCACACGAAGACTACTGGCACCTCTACGAGACCCTGAGCAGGAGGCTGGAAGAGGAGCGCGTCGTCGTCGTCCGGGACCTGCAGGCCATGCATCCGAGGGCCGCCGCGGCCATCTCGCACCTCTGCGACGACACCTACCCGCCCTTCCCGCAGGTGCGTTGCGAGCGTTCACTCCGTGTCCCGACTGCCACGCCGCCATCCTGACCCCCGACCCTGTCCAACCCCTCCCCGCCATAGTCCGTGCTGATCCTGCTGCTGAGCCCGGGCGCCGCCATCTACCCCCAGGACGCGGAGCTCGCCAGCGGGTGTGCCGTCGTGCTGGCGGAGCAGTGCCTAGTGCAGTGCTGGCTGGCGCGCGCGCCCCCGCCCTCGTCCGGGGCGCTGCCGCCGGCGTGGTCGAGCCGCGAGGCCCTGCCGGGCGTGCTGGCGCGCCTTACCGGCCGCGCCGTCCTGGTGCTGCCCGAGCAGCCCGCGGAGCCTCCGGAGCCCGTGCAGCCGCCGCACGACGCGCCCTCGGAGCCCCCGGGCCTACCGGGACGCAACGCCGACCGCGGCGGCGTCCACCGGGGACGTGTCGAGCAGCAGGTTCAATAATGAACGCCTGCGAGACGACCGCGACCCTCCTCTCCGCGCGTCACCGCCCGTGCGTGTGATAAGGGGAACCGTTGATAAGAAAACGAGTCGAAGCGTGAGACGTTTATGGTGCACCGCTAATCTCCACGCTAAGTTAGTTGCGCCCGGCTCGCAAGCCGGCCAGGCGCTCCTGGAGCTGCCGCACGCGCTGCTCCTGGGCCGCGCGCTCCGTGCTGGCGCGCTGCAGGTCGCGCTGCTTCTTCGCAAGAAGGAAGGCATTGCGCTTCTGGAAGCAAAATGTGAATCAGGGAACTTTACTGTTAGGAGACCATAGGAGACCACTACCGCGTCGTCCGTCCGTACCATGAGCAGCTCCACTCTGCTGGCGGTGTTCTTGGCCATGCCGCGAGTCTTCTCGCGCAGCCGGTCCCGCTCGGCCCTGAGACGCGCCGCCTCTGTGCGCAGCACCAGGTCCGCGTCGTCCTCCGTCTGGGTGGAGGCGTCGCGGGTCGCGGGCCGCCCGGGCCCTTCCGCCGCGGCCGCTGTCGATATACCGCGCCGTCAGAACCACAGAGAACATACCCCCAACCCCCGCAGGAAATACCCCCTGGGCGAGGGGTTGCCCCCCAAGTTTATGGGCTCGACAGTGCCATGCGGACATGAGGGCTACGTGTGTTTGGGCTGTGTACCCAGCGGCCTATCGGGTGGGGCGGGCACCGCACCATGCCCCAGAGTGCACGCAGCTCTCAGCGAAGAACACCCGTGGAACGCCTCGTCCGTGCTTGCCGCCAGGCTCGACGCCATGGCGACCAGGGGAACATCCCGTCGCTCGCTCAGGCCGGCTTGGCTCACGGTACGTGTGCGCGGCGTGAGATCGCTACGGTGGTGCTGCAAATGTCCCGTGAGCAGCCAGTTGGTCTGATGCGCGTACTTCAATGGGGCTGAGGAAAGGCCGTTGCCCTCAGGTGTTCCTGCCCTCCGTCATGATGGCCCTGACGCTGACGCTCCTGGCGCTCCAGGCGACCGGCGCCCCGGCGTCGGCCAAGAAGGAGAAGGACTCGTTGCTGGACGACGTGCTGGAAGCTAGAAAGTTCGACCTCGTCGGGAAGGTGAAGGACTTTCTCGGGTTCGGTTCCAGCAGTAAGGCCAGCAGCCCCCAGCCAAAGCGGCCAGCTTCGCCCAAACCGGAAAGCGATGGCTGGATCAGGGTCGAGCCGCCGCCGCTCTGACATACGCCCCACCGACCCTCGATGTGACCATCCCCCCCGGCTCATGATCACATTAAAGCGTTGTACGTACCGGACCTGGAGAGCTTGAGCCTGAGTGCCGCCAGTTGGGCTCGTTCCACCTCCAGGGCGGCCCTCTGCGACACCTGCTTCGTGACCAGCGATCCCGCCAGCATGCACCTCTCCTGCGCGGTTAAGGGGGGTGGGATGAAATTAGGTTATCGGCGAGCTGTTTGCAGGGTAACGGCTATGCGTTCGAGGAAGTCGCGATTAAGTCGTTTTCAAGCAATTGGCATTTATGAGGCGGCAATGGGAGAAACCATTAGGGGGTGGTTATGATGACTCACCCTAGCAGCCCTCTCGAGTCGTGCCACGTTCTCCTGGTGGTATTTTGACAGCAGCTCGATTCCATGGCCGTCTTTAGTCCCCCTCGCTCCTCGGTTTTGATCCATATCAGTACGGAAAGAAACAAGAATAACAGTTCTGTGGACGAAGTGCCAATTTTCACGTGGCTATCCTCCAACCTCTCTCACGCCTCTGCCCGGCGGCAAGCAGGTGTACCAACACCGAGCCCGAGACCAACCCCGACTTCAAACGAAGACTTGGCTTTTCAGGTTCAGGCTCCAACCATGCTCCAACAAACCAAAGAGTCGATAGATATATGCATTTATTCATACACGGCTTCCACAAGCGCAAACAGATAAACTCTTAACAATGAAATGTACAAAGTGTTATAGATAAAAAGAAACATTAACACATAAATAAAATCCTCATATTGTAACACACATTTGCTCTGGCAGATAGAAGTTTTCAGTAAGATGCCGTGCGTTTTTTGCCTCCCCGTGCAGCTGATATGCTCTTTTGAAAATATTCTTTTGTATAAGATCACAATAGACAGGTCAAAACGTCTCATATTGAGATTCATCTTTGATACATATTATGATACAAATTAGGAAAACTATTCACCCAATGATACATTGAGTTATGCACCATCTATATTTTATAAAATTTTTCATTATCACAAAATCCATAGGATCCCTACCTCCATATACTAACTCAACACTGAATTACTAGCCTGAGATAACCAGCTCCAGGCTTCTGTCCCAGTAAACCAAGAGCAAATTAAAAAAAAAAAAAATGCTGAATTTTAAAAAAAGATAACACCTATAGTTGAGACTTTTGCTTAGCCTTAACGCTATTTTCACAATGAATCCTACAGATCGGTCAGAAGCATAACATAGGTACTCTAAAGCTACCAAAATGTAACATCTGAACATCACAACTCCTACAATTACAGCCAACCTATGGGTGTGCTATTTACGATTAATGTGCAGTTAAGATGTAAAAGTTAAAACAAATACCACAGGCAAAGGGAAAGCAAACTCAGGAATTGTGAAGTTATTTATTTTATCAAGATACCATTTGCCTGTGATTGAACAGAGACAACACAGATTAAGTATCACTAATAGTATCACTTTTCATTAAAAAAAAAAATTGGCAACAATTTTATTCCTATGCACAGTGGCTTATAAATTCTTCAGTGCTTTAAAAGGGTGTTGAATATAATTGCTGCTTATGTTCACTCAGATAATAGCATTAAAGGAAATGGCCATACTAGCATGTACAGTTTTTAAAAACACATTTGTTGGTCTGAGGGACTTACGCACACCACTTTAAAGACTCTAATACTTCATTAAATAATACAAACTATATATTTCAGTTACTTTACGGAGGAATGCTCAAGCATAAGCCAGTTCTGAAGAAAATAAGTCAGTGTGAATTTCATCCACATCAGACTCAAGCACAGCTCACAAGTTTGGAGAATTCACAAGAGTCAAGAAGTAAAAATTTGATTCATTAAAGGTAAAGAAAAACCTCAAGTGAATGTTTCAAATGGAAATGGAACAACCATGACAGAAAATACAAATTAAGGACATGAGTTGAAGCAAATGACTAGGCATAAATATCTATACAATTAAATCTATA